GGGCTTTATGGTAGCGTTATCAAGAAAATCCACTGCATCATCATCTTATGAATTTCATCTTATATCCGTAAGGTAAGATCCGTGATAGCGTAGTTGAAGTAGCTACTGGCTACGGGCTGAACGACCAAGGGGTCGGAGTTCGAGTGTCGGTAGGGTCAAGAATTGTCTCTTCTTCTTCTCGTCTAGACCGACTCTGGGGCCCACCAAACCTCCTAGCCAATGGGTATCGGAGCCTGTTTCCCCGGGAGTAAAGCGGCCGGGTCGTGAAGCTGACCACTCACCTCCAACTAGTGACGAGGTTAAGAAAACGTGGACCTATATGTCCACTCCCCCACATGTCATTATGGCGTAGTGCTTAATTAGTTAAGCACAGGGACAACTTTACCTGTCGGCAATAGTTAATGAACTAGGGTATGATGGGCTGGGCATGTGGCGCGAGTGGTGTGAACTGTAAAGATATGCAAAATTTCGATGTTTGCCACTCGGTAAGCCAAAAATTTGAAAACCGAGATGGTTTTGACGAAGATGTATGAAAATGGACAGAATAATTGATTGTATTGTTGTAATATCCTATTCAGACTGCTCGAATCAGGCCAGCTTGTCTTTTAATTTGCCACAAACTCACCATTTCATACAGTAGCAGCAGGAACCATCTAACTAGCGTCCTGATTGGCAAGCTGACATTCTCTTGTATTGCTCACCACTGCCAAGATAATAAAAGCCCTCGGATCTTACCGTCAGCGAAGTCAGTGTAATTAAAATATCAGAATTCATTCATATAGGTAAAAAAGGTAAAGTTGTCTCTGCGCCTAACCAATTAAGCACTACGTCATGAAGAAATATGAGGGAATGGTTGTATAGATCCACATTTTCTTGACTTCGGCACTAGTTGGAGATGTGTGGTCAGCTTCACGTCCCGGCCGCTTTATCCCCGGGGAAAGAGCCCACAGTATCCATTGGATAGGAGGTAGGGTGGACCCCAGAGTCGATCTCGGCAATATCGAGAAGTGAAAATTCTTTAACCAACCGGGACTCGAACTCCGACCCCGTTTGTCGTCCTATATAGATCCACTTGATTCTCTTCTTATATATATCCATATTTTAAATAGTTCGTACCGTCACTTCCAAAATCAAATTCCCTGTTACGTTCTCGTTTCTTTCCTTCATCCGGGCTTTGATTTTCCTATGTTAACAATAGGTCTACTTGAGGCATCCTGTAGTTGACGGGAGTTCCTTGCTGTCGAACAGAAAGGGCTGTGGTTCCAGCAAATAAACCAACACTCTTATCGAATTTTATTAGGATTATAAATCAAGGATGGTGACATTGACGGAACGTGCGAGGTGAGAAATGCGTAGATATATTTTGTCTGTTAGGAAGGCCTGAAGGGAAGAGAACACTTGAGAGACTTAAGCGTAGATGAGATAGGGATAATATTAGAATGGTTCCTACCAAAATTGATTAAGGTGTCTTGGACTAGACTCGTCTAGCTTATGAGTCCTGGGGAACCTAATGGTCGCCAAGGTATACAAGATATTCCCTGCCTGGTTTGAACAACAACCCTCTAATAGACCCTATCAGATTGATGGATAGATAGAGAGATTGAAAATTGTCCCTGTGCTTAATTACGAACCACGACAGGAAAGCGTAAGGGGAAGTGGGGGTGTACCTGCGAGTATTCTTAACCTCAGCCCTAAACTGAGGTGAGTGGTCAGTTTCACGCTCCGGCTACTTTTCCTCTGGAGGAAGAGCCCACTCTATACGTTGGTTAGGATGATTAAATAAACAAATGAAGTAAAATAATGGACAAGGTGTAGCAAAGTTTGAAACACCTCATACGTTCTGGATTTCATAACCTTTCATTTGCAGTAAGCCGCCATATTGTGATGTACATTTTACGAAACATCTCTGCTACTCCTCCCACAGGTGAACCCTGGCAGCAAGGCGGCGCAGAAGGGCGTCCGTGAGGGAGACGTCATATCGTCCATCAACGGACAGTCCACTCGCAACATTACGAACAGCGATGCTCATGCCCTCTTGCGGAATGCAGGTCAAACACTTCAGCTGGGCCTCAACGAGTGAGTAGAAAATATCTGCATGAAAACCCCGGTGTTTTGTCATTTTGTAAGGAGGTATTCCCAAACTTGGCGATATTTCGTTCCCAACAGGGGTCGCGTGACCCGAAATGTTTATTCTTTTGGTTTTTCTGCCTTCAGGTTTCGTTAAACAACACGTAATTAAATTGGTTTTGTTTCTGTGTAGGATTTGCGATTCTCACAGCGGTAATTGTGAAGAGTTACTATCTTTTGGTATATAATACCGTGCAGTTCGTTGAAAGTGAACCGACGTTTCCGAGGAACATATCACATCCTGATTTCGCCCTGATTTCTTGCTTCTCTTATTTTCCAACCTCCAAAACGTCGGTTCACTTTCAACGGACTGCGCGGTGTTATATCCCAGAAGATACTAGTGCTCTGGCTTTATTACTCATTATGTAAACCAATTAACGGATAGGATCCAGTGGCGGCGTTGAAGATGAATCTTCATGGTCCGTAAAGTAACATAAAGGTAAAAAAGGTAAAGTTGTCCCTGTGCTTAACTAATTAATCACTACGCCATGAAGACCTATGGGGGAGTGGATGTATAGATCACATCCGTAAAGCGATATACATTACGAAATATTTTAAGCAGTTGAATGTTTATCAACGCTCAAGACAACTTTTTAGTCAATGTTCTCACGCCACGTGTACGAAATCCGTGCCAAAACCAGTTTCGCCCTTCATCCGAAATAAGACAGGGTAAGTAAACAAAAAGCATAAGAGGACATTGTATTCAGATCGCAGTACTGCACTGAAATGGAAGTATTGCAGAAGTGCTGTCCCGGTGGATTACTGGCTTCTGGAGTTTGCGGTCCACTTCAGTTTCATTTTAACAATATCAGAAATACTCCTTATCTTACCAGAGGTCACTGTTGAGTGTTGCTAGTGGGGTGGGACTAAGTCCCTTGTACTGCGGCCACTTCTAGCCTATTGTACCAGCCCCAAATGATAGGTGAGGGTGATTGTGGAGCAATTGGTGGAATGCAGATTGGCAGGGGAAACCGAAGTACTTGGAGAAAATGTGCCTCAGCGCCACTTTGTCCACCACAAATCCCACTTGACCAGAACCGTCACTGTTGAGTAACTAGAATTCCTACTTCTTATCGAGAAATCCCGCAATCGATTATTCTTCTAGGAGTCGACTATCCTGACTGGAGTTCGATGCATTTCTTCAGCGTCCTCCGGTAAATCTATAGTTAATGACCTTAAACATTTCATGACCGATTTTTTACGGCTTTCATAATCATCCCTTTTTGACTGTATAGCTTATACATGAGTAAGCGTCATTTAATAAACCCAGAAGATAGAACATCTTGTCACTGTGTGTTTGGTATCGTCTCGGGATTGCTCTGCCTACGTACAATCAGTTTAAAGTTTTGAAATAAAGTGCAGTAGAGTTATCACAGGCCGGTCACGGTAGCCGAGCTGTCCAAGGCATGCACTGTCTTCGCTCGCTCGGAAGCCGGGATCGTGGATTCGAATCCCACTCAGGGCATGGATGTTTAGTTTGTGTGTGTTTTTCTGCGTTTGTGTACAGGTAGAGGCCTTGCGACGAACTGATCACCCGCCCAAGGAGTCCTACCGAACGTGTAAGATCTAGATAAACCGAAGTGAACGGAGAAGTTCATGGAGGTAGGACTAGGCCCACTGGGGCTGTAGTGCCAAGGAAAAAAAGTTTTCAGAGAAGTCTGTATAAGTAGACCTATGATTTCTTCCAGCGACGCTTCACAGCCATCAAAGTAGCTAATGTCACCTAAACTAACAGACTTCTCGTAGCAGTTGAAATATTTCAGTGGTCTAGGCTTCTAAAGATTTATTTCTGTTTTCATGACTCGGTATGGTCTACCACTGAAGACCATTCCAAGACTCCGGAGCCTACTTTTAATTTCTTATCATCAATAATACCAATATGATGGAGTCAATGCAGGTGTTATTCAGTGCACATTGCTGACAGATTTACGATGCTCTTTGAAGGATATCCATTTCAGTATTAATAAAGTAACTCTAAATAAATATTTTACTTAAATGTTTGACGATATGGCTTAAATAAGAAAATACGTCAGCTTTACTAAAACGTTTTAAGAACTTCTATTAACTTCCATAAAAATTAGCAGAATACACGGTTATTGCTACTTCAATGTGTTTATTGTCAAGAAGTTAGCTTTAGGCCAAATTAAAACAGTATATTTAGCAATGGCCAGCGGATTTAATTAAGTTAGAACGTGGCCAACTTGCTAAGGAACTATTTTTTTATTGCTAGTGGGGTGGGACTAAGTCCCTTATACTGCGGCCACTTCTGGCCTATTGTGCCAGCCCCAGATGATAGGTGAGGGTGATTGTGGAGCAATTGGTGGAATGAAGATTGGCAGGGGAAACCGAAGTACTCGGAGAAAACCTGTCCCAGCGCCACTTGGTCCACCACAAATCCCACTTGACCAGACCATGGATCGAACCCGGGCCGCCGCGGTGGGAAGCCAGCGACTAACCGCTTGAGCTATGGCGGGCCCTGCTAAGGCACTAATTACCTAACCAACCAAACTCCTTGGAGCTGCTTCCTTCATGAGAAGCCGCCAGTCGCTCAGCTACTCAATTTCCCAACATTTTATGGAACCCGAAGGTTCATTATCGCTTTCACAGGCTCCTTATGTTGATCCATCTGAATCAGATCAGTTCAGTCCGTACGACTCTATTCTTATTCTCTAAGATTCATTTTACTATTATCCTCCGACGTGCATTTAGGCCTCCTACTGGTCTCTTTTGGCATTCCCACCAAAATCATACATTCATTCCTCTTGTATCTCATGCGTACTACGTGCCCTGCCGTCTCATCCACCTTTATTTGATCATTCCAGCTAAATGTGGCCAAGGGCACAAGTTGTGAAGCTCCTCGTTGTGCAAATTTCTCCTTCGCACTGTGTTACTGTCCCGTTTAATGGCGATGAATTTGCACATTCGACGAAGCGAAATACATATGCGACAGGCCAGTAAAATGAATGACAGCAGACTGGATGGCTGAACCATCGCAAATGGGCTTCATCACTTTCATCACAGTTGTTATGCGGTAATGTTCGAGAGGTTCCCTGCGGGTTGCATCTCGCCCCACGTTCATTCCCATGCCATTCCAAGTGGCCTTTGGAGTGGTCAATTTACACAAGTCCACGTTTATATCCAAGTATGTAGACATACTCTCCCCCAGCGAAAAAAAAAGTGTGGAAAATTGTTGAATAAAATTAGTGAACCTTGGTCATTCTGCTGTTCTTTCAGGAAAGTATTCAGCTTCAGTGTAAAAGGGCACATTTAATAAGAGTCGCCAGAAAATCGTGCCGAAGTTTTCATCTTGTACAACACACGTGGACGGACCGTGGTTAATTGGCTCATCTTCTCTTCGTTGGAGGGTTATTATTATTATTATTATTATTATTATTATTATTATTATTATTATTATTGGAGGGGGTGGGTTTCCCCATGCACCGCGACTAATAGTCTATTGTACGTCCCCATTTGGTATTCTACCTGTCGCCATACCCTGCCGGTACTAGTGCTCGCTATCAGCCCCGTTCAGCCAGCGAAGCTGGCAGTGGTTCCCGATACTTCCCCGGAGGTCTCCTAGAGACGTGAGGATCTTTTACGTGCCGTAAATCTACGACACGGGACCCACGGCTTAAAGTCCCTCCCGTAGGACTTGTTCCCTGAATTTTTCCGTCCTTAAAAATTCCACGACCTTCGCCGGGTTTGAACCCGCGTACCTTGAGTCATGAGGTGGGAACGTTCCCCTAGACTACGCGCTTCGTTGAGGATAGTGCCTGCGTCTCTCTGAACGAGCTGAGGAAGATTATGAAAGCCTTCATTGAGGGTTACGGGTTGCCTAGTGCCTAGACTGACATGCATACTGGGGACTCCCCGAGGCGGTAACTGCTACACCCATACATTTGTAGACAGAGACAGAAGAATTTGAGTATGAATATCAGTGATAATCCCCACGTGAATCAGGGCATACGATAATCAGTATTTTTATTTTTTCGGCGCTACAGCCCCAATTTGGGTCTCGGCCTACCTCCATGAAACTCATTTTCACTTCTGTTCACTAGATCTTAGACATTCGGTAGGACTCCTTGGGCGGGTGTTCAGCTCGGCGCAAGGCCTCTACCTGTACACAAACACAGGAAAACACACGCACACACACAAACACTGAGCATCCATGAATTTTNAGTCACGGTAGCCGAGCGGTCTAAGCAGCGTCTACACGAGCGCACAAAATGCGTCCGTTGTAACGAACGTACTTTGCTGAGGACACCACACAGTTGCAGAATGCGGTGCATAGTTTTTTGTCTGCAATGGAGCCAGAAGAAAGCCTCTCTTGTTTATTTCTACAACGGACGCATTTTGTGCGCTCGTGTAGACGCTGCTTAGACCGCTCGGCTACCGTGACTGGCATTCGGTATTATAGTGCACAGTAAATATCTTGAGTGTAATGGGGAAGCTAGGTTTAAATTGATGAAGAAACATAAAGTAATAAGCTTGCCCAGTAGAGGCTGAAGCCTCTTTTAGTTTTTAGTCAGTTTGTTTGTTTCTTGTTTCTTGGGGTGGGGTGAGATTGAGCCCACTTGGTACGTCGGCCACTAATTGGCCGGATGATAGATGATGAACGTGGGACAGTCGGTGGAATGAGAATTGGCAGGGGAAACCGAAGTAATCGGAGGAAGCCTACCTCAGTGCCACTTTGTACACTACACCACAAATCCCACATGACCTGACCCGGGCTCGAACCCGTGCCGCCGCTTTGGGAAGCCGGCGACTAACCTCCTGAGCTATGGCACGGCCCAGGCTGAGGCTTGATTAGGCGTGCAGGCTTATGGGCGTCGCTCTGTGCTCGAAGCAAATATATTGTGTTTCCAGATCATTTAACAGGGCGTTACAGTCTGACCATACCCCTCGATTATGCTGCAGAACACTACAGCACGGCTGGAGGACGCAGGGTT